ACCTCGAATACTGGAGGGTATCACCCTCGGATGTAATCACCCTCGGATGTTATGTTCTTAAGGAAAATACTTCGTATCAACAAGTCTCGATAGGCAAAATCTTGTAAGGGCCAAACGGTCAAATGAACCGTGTCCTTGTATATTACTCGAGACCTAATGGCAAAACATGTACGCATGAATGATCTATTGGAAGAAGTATTTTTTCCTTACCGTATGTTCCATGCCTTAGTGAAATTTCTACTTCTTCTACTTTACTTATGATCTATTGGGGAAGCTTGCTCAAGCACCGATCGCAACTAAAGCTCGAGCTATCAACCCCGTATTCGCGGACTGTCGTCCAAAAATCGACATGTTTGAATAATTAAACTTCGAGGCCATAAGACCTTGAAAAGGCAATCCTCGATTTTATAGGCCACAGCCACCCCACTTGGGGACTGACACTTCGAACAAATTCGAAGCATAATAGAGAAACAAGCCCAAAGGGCAAAACTCAAGTTAAAGGTTACGGCCAATCTAACACGATTCGGAGACGTCCGAATTCTGTAATGAAACATGCATTCAAATATCTTCATAAAATTGGTTTAAAAAGGCTACCCTCAGCAAAATTACAAAGAGTTTCGATAACATCAACCCTCAAAAACCTTATGGGGCACAAAATTGTTCAAACTCTCGAACAAGCTTATGTTAAGGCATAACAAAGTAAAGGGTTTCGTTAACACTAACCCCCGAAAACCCTAACAGATTTAGCTAGTGCTAAGGCGTAAACAAATTTTTATGATTAACTTTTTATGCCGAAAAGGGAGAAAAGCCATTCCTTTTAAAGCCATATCGGCATAATTCAAGAGCCTAAGGGCCATTATTGAGTTTGAGAAATCATCCTTACTCAACTAAAACCTAAGGGGCATCCTACTTCGAGTTTGAGCAGATACTCACTCAATTATAAGGACTACGCTAGTCCGATTTCGATCAAATTGCCCAAGCCTCATGAAAATTTTCAAGACATGGTCAAAATGGAATTTGTACGGGGCATAAATTGAAATGAAGATAAATCAAAGAGAATAAAGATCTTATATATATGAAAATATTTACAAGGATCGGTTAGGATCCTACACAAAAAATTCAAAGAAGGAAAAATTCTAAATGCCTAATCCTCCCCGTGAGCCTCATCTTCATCTTCACTGCCCTCGGAACCACTCATGCTCCCAGAATCATCATCATCGGAAGAGAGCAATGATTTAGCATGAATCTCCTCGAGAGTCTCTCTCCGAGACTGGCATTTGGAATGCTCGGCAATGCAGAATGCTCGAGCCTGAGCAGCATCGAAAATTTCTTTTGCTCGAGCTTGAGAGGCCTCGGCATCGGATCGGTAGACACCTGCGATCGCCTCAGCATTGACTTTAGCCGTCTCAACCTTGGATTTGGCTTTGTCCAGCTCGGTGACCAACCGAGCCTCAAGCTCCTCCATTTTCTTGGCCTGACCTGAGCTTTCCTCCTTCATGCTTTGGAGCTGACATTCGGGAGATGACAGTTGGGTTCGAGCAGTCTCTTTTTCTGAGGCAAGGCGATCCATGTTTTGTTTCCACCCCAAAGTCTCCGCCCTCATCATATTGGCCACTTTACGGAGCTGTTCGATCATCTCGACCTTCTGCTGAACCTGCAGGATTGAAGTATTAGTCGTCATCCCCGAAGTGATACATCGTACTCCTAAAAAAATTCATTACCTGCTCAATCAGGTCGGTATGCTCTTTATGGGTTATGGCCAACTCGGCTCGGAGGACCTTGATCTGTTCTTCTTTTTGCCCACTAAGAAGTCTGAGGGCATCTCTCTCCTCCGTGAGCCTTTTAAGATCGGCCTCATACCGACTCAGCTCTGATCGGGATTTAGAGAATGCTTCCCGATGAAGCGTCAAGGCCTATGAAGAAAGAAAGGAAATCAGGCAAGAGGAAATAAAGGCAAAAGGAATATTGATAAAGGGAGCTAAGGCTTACCTGACTCGGGAGTCGATGAGCCTCATCGAAGATACTCGATGCATCACCTAGATCGGAAGCATCTTCGACTCCCGTGAAGCAACCGTGAAAAGGTCTTCCCCTTCGTGGGCCATTCCCACATCGGGGGTTGGGCTTCCTGAATTTGCCCCTCTGAAAATGTGGGGAGGGGCGGCGAATCATCAGCATTTATTGCCCCAAGCAAGTCACTTGGGACGTTCTCTTCGTTCCGAAGGGCCTCAGAACCGGCCCCTTCAGGCACATCCGCCGATTGCTCATCACGGCGGGAGGCATCTTCAGCCTCCAAAGACTCGGGGACTTTGCTCGGGCCACCCTCCAAGATCTCCTCGGTCCGAGGTTGAACCTCTTCAACCATCACCGGTTCAGCGACCTTCGGAGCATTGATGCTCCTCTTTGTTCGAGCTACTAGCTCGAAGTCAGCATCTTCATCTTCTTCTTCTTCCTCCCTTAGACACTGAGCAACATTAGCAGGTATGGCAGCGGTGTCCTTTTTCGAATTGCGAGCCTTTCTCTTCTTAGGCTTTGGAGTCTCGGAGGGCGAGATCCTTTTTTTTTCTTCTCCTTCGAAGGCTTCAAGATCGGGGGCGGAACCACCTCCTCCCCAAACAGGGGCCTCATGAAGGCAATGTCTCAGAAGCCTATGCAAAAAGAAATCAACTGAATGAGAAAGGAAATATCTCAGAAAAAGATCATCAAATACATGAAAAGAATCTTACCATGATTTTTGGCCTCCCATCGGCCCTTTGTCAAGTCGCGCCACGAGCGCTCGGCATATGAAGAAGTCGAGGTCAGTTTCCGAACCCAGCCCTCAAGATTCAAAATTGCACCAGGCATCCAAGAAACTGCTGCATCGCAGGAAAAGATGCTAATAAGAAAAGGCAAAAGAAACAAAACAATAAACAGAAGCTATAAATGGGTTTGTACTTACGCTTCATGTTCCATTCCTCGGGGAATGGCATCTTCTCAACCGGGATTATATTGGAAGTCCTCACTCGAACGAACCGTCCCATCCATCCTTGATATTTGTCCTCGTCTATGCTCGAGAACAGTACCTTGGTGGCCCGATGTTGAAGCCTTATTAACCCGCCTCGATAAAGGCATGGGTTGTACAGTCTGATGAGATGGTCGAGGGTGAAAGGCATCTCTTCGACCTTGCTCACGAAGAACCGGAGCAGAATTACGATCCCCCAAAAGGAGGTATGGATCTGGCCTAGGGTTATTTGGTATTGGCAGCAGAAGTCGATGATGACGGAATCGACAGGGCCTAGTGTGAAAGGAAAGGTGTAAATGCTCAGAAACCCTTTCACGGAAGTAGTGATGTCCTCTTTGGGGGTCAGAATCACCACTTCTTTGTTTTCCCAATAGCAATCTTTCCTCACCTGCTCGAAGTCGCCCTCAGTTATCTAGCATATATATCTCGACATTGGCTCACACTGGCCAGGGACCGACAAAGTTTTATCGACTTTGAAGTCGGAAGTAAGATCGCACCCCGGGGGAACACACTCCTCAAGGCTGGATCCACCGGTATTTTATCGCCGGTCGGCCACGACGAAGAAGCTTTTTCCTTTTGAGGAACGATTTTTAACGTTTTTGCCATTTTTATATGGGTTAAAGAAAGAAGAACATGAGATTTGTTGTATTGAGGGAAGGTTGACAGCAAGATTTGAAAAATTTGCAGAACTAAAAAACTTGGAAGAAGTAGAGTGCTTTGAAGATTAAGAGAAGTTTGAAAGTAAAGTTTGGGAAATTATGAGGAAGGCCTATTTATAATGTTCACGGCGACGGTTCAAAGGCACTGGTAGCCGACCACCAGAAGCTCATTAATGATTTTGGGAACTGTACCGACGAGATGTTTCGGTCACTTTTTGTCGCTTACGTCACGATGATGACGTCATAACTGGTCGAGGCACAAAATCGGAGGCTTAATTCGCTTCTTCTCATTACATTCCAAGAAACGAGGGGACGATCTGTATACGGTTAAAATCGGGCTACCCGATTTTGCTGTTTAATCGAAACCATGGAGTTATTTCAAGGGTTAGTCTCGAAGTGAAACGGATCAAAGCGACGAAGGCAAGGTACTATGTTCGAGAATCGAAGTACCTGCCGAGATCGAAGCCGGCAGTGATCGAGGTCAAACGGGGCAGACTCCGAGTGAAATACAATAACGGGAAAGCGAGATATCCGTGACTGGTTGAAGATCATGGCGGGGATCTCGGAACGGATCAAATCAAAGGCGGTTAATTAGCTAATCATGTGATTTCCTTCTGTTATTAGAGTTGTACAGTAATTAGGATTCATCTACTATATAAAGAGGAGTCCTCATCATTTGTAAGGACCCCGGACATTCACACAGATCAAAGCAATACAATATTCTCTCTTTAATTCTCTTGTTTATCAGTTTGCTGCTTTTTAACTGTTTTTGCTCTACTAGCTCGAGGGTATTCCAACTTGAAAGCTCTGTTCAAACCCTGGTTTACTTTATCTTATTATCAACTTCTATCGCTAATCTTTGCATTTATCAATTGTATTAGGTGAAATCACGTATCCTTAAAATTATATTATAAGTTTAATTGTTATCCAGATTTTAGAGTAAACACATTTATTGGTACAAAGTTTCATTTGGTTTCTTTTTCACTATTCTTCGACCTTTCTCGAGCTCTTTAGCTCTTTCTCCTTATGCCGTTTTGTAGAAACAACATAAAATATGTGCTTAGAAATTTTTCCTTATTTTGCATTTCAACCTTACTTTCGGCTTATAAAATGTCCAGCTAAAACAATGAGATGGAACCTCTTTAATTACATTATTGCCGTAATTTAGGCGACAAAATTACATTTCAAGCCATACTTTGGAAACCAACAACTGTTTTCACTGTTTACTGTAGTTTTCGATCTTATTGATGAAAGATAGAAAAAAAATAGCAAGAGGGAACTTAAGCCTTAGAAGTAAACTATTAGATTAATTTAGGTTAGTAAAACATTCTGAATTAACTTCTTCGATTCATATGCACATGTTGGCCAATAGTTCAAGAATTGTAAGTAAAACGAATCTTAGTTACAAACTAAAGAATTGTAATATAACTTAGAGCAGATTTACTTCTCCATTAACTTAGAACGAATAAAAAAACAAGGCCCGCACAGTTGAATCAAAATGGTTTTGGCCTTCTTTATCAGGTGCTGGGCTGACGCAACTTCAACTGTAAATTTCTGTATCCGATCCCACAAGTCAATCTCAAGTCCTCAAGGGACATTCAAATTTAAGTTGGAAAAGAGCAAACTGCCTGATTGAAGCATCTTCCAGATCTAATGCAATTTGACAGTAACAATGTTCAACGAAATTCGTTTCAAGTATATCCTAAAGAGAAAGGAAACTGCAAAAGAGAGCAAAGAAATTTCAAAATGAAGTCGCTAAGAAAGCAACTTTTTTTTTTATTCCTCTTTGATCCCCCTCTTGTTGGAGTTATCGATCCTTTGGTGACTCAAACCCACAACCTTGACCATCGGAGAAACCTCTGTTGTCAAGAAAGCAACTTACTTCTTATAAAGGAAAACAAATTTTTGCTCATTAAGTCAAGAATGACACCTAATTTTTCATCCCAAATGCGAAGCCAGACATGTCATACTTATGCCTGAGGCCTCTAAATATTCAAAATCAAGGCTATAACCGCAGATCTCTACCCCCACAAGTAAAGCTACTTCACCTAGTAGTTACTCTAGATCAATAGGATCTAAAATTTTGACCAACAAGAAAAGGAAGAAGAATATGAATAGAGGTAGCAACATGTTCAGCTTCCCTACAGATTTGATAGTGTCTTTCTTCTTCATGATTGTTCGATTAAATAATATGAAGTCTGGGTCTTAGATGTTTTCTGGCAGCATAATGTCACATTTAAAGAATATCCACCACTATTTCCTAGAAATATATCGCTGTTTGGAACTCTTGCAGCAACTTTACTCAAATCTGCAGCAATTATATCGATTAAGCATGATTACGTTGTGAAAAATTAGAAACAGAAGTAGATGGCAGATTCTCCCTTTGCTTTCCTACTGGAATGGAGGTGGTAAAAATAATTGAATGACTTCCCTGCTTTAGCACAACTATAGCAGTCACGCAAACCTGCAGAGAAAGATGCTCACGGTATCAAATCTGACCAGTTCCTGGAAGCTGACTTGAGATGTCACCTGAAACCCAAGCTGGATTTGTCTTTCCTTAGTTGGAGGCTAGAAAATAAAAACCAGCTACTTTAAAAAAATACTAAAGAATAACAATGCATGAGAGAGATGGAGATTGTCGGAAACAAAAATGTGACATAGCCATCTCACAGAGGATATCCTAAATGGCCAGATAAATTCTAACGAACAGGCGTGGAAACATGAATTTTGGAACATCAGAGTTAATATAATTTTACATTTAAAACCCTAAAAGAGAACGTAATCATATAGAAGCAGTAAATGCAATATATAATGATGGCAATAATATTGACCTCTAACAGCACGGGAATAATCATCTGCAAAACAAGCAATCAAGAAAACATAAACATAGCACTTTCATCAAAGATTTATATTTGAATGATATCGCGTGAAGGTTTTCACTTAGCATTAATAAATAGGGAAGCCTGTCTAACTCAGCATAAATTGCAAATAAGAGGTTTCTCTTTGTGCAGCAGATGTTATGTTTGCAACATTGAGCAGGAAACTGCTGAACATTTATTTCTACAATGCACCTTAGCAAGACAATGCTGGGAGCTTTTTCTTACTGTTATGGGAGTGTCCCTGGTGATTCCACAGAAGATCGGTAGTTTCTCGGAAATCTGGCAGGCTCAAAAAGTGAAGAAAAACTTGAAGATATGGAGGACTATTCCCATCTGTGTTTTAAGGACTGGATGGATGGAAAGGAACAAGGCATGCTTTGAAGGGAAAAGGTTGCAGATTGCTAGAATCAAAAACAAATGCATCAAGAATCTATTTCTCCGGTGTTCTTGTAATACTTTAGATAGGATGGATCAGTATTTGGGTTTCTTATTTTTTAGGAGGAACATGTAATATGTTTGGTGGTGTGTTGGTTTTTTGACGTGTACTTGTTTTAGTACCATCTTGGTACCGGTTCTAATAAAAATTTTGACTTATCAAAAAAAAAAACGATATCACATTTCTCTACTCTTTTCACACCTTCCTACTAGGAGTATTATTTTAATATAACTCTAGGAACAACATATAGTAACCTGTTCACACTCTTTTCTCTTGATCTTGCGAGAGTCAACACTGAGTCGCTAATCAGTCCATTCAGGATGAGGGATGGGTGGAGGTATTACACCTAAACTCCTAGATGTTATCTAGGAAGTTGTTACATTTTTCCCTTCTCGTAAATCTTCTAATCCTGCACTACAAAAGTTCCTTTTTCCTTCTAATGCTTTCTTTTTCGTACATGGAGCAAGGGGAGGAGATGTGGGAGATAAGCAAATGTAACTTGAAACAAAACTTCGAGTACCCTTTTTCATAAGCTAACCTAAGAAAATGTGGTATCAAAGCCTAGGCCAAGAAAAGAAACCTTTTCTCACTCAGAAGGCTCATACATAAGAAGCCACAGCCTGTTTCTCCTAATATATAAATTTAACCACTTTGATGGAATACAAAGACCAAAAAATTCTGATGAACAATATAACATTCGCAATACAAATTTTAGCTTACTAGGAGACCCTTAGGGGTCGTTTGGTAGGGTGTATAAGAATAGTGCGGAATAAGCATTAGTTATGCAAATACTATTTCTTATCTACTGTTTGGTGTGGTGTATTAAAATTATAATGCATTGCATAATTTTTAAGAAAAATAGTTGCTTACAAAAATGTCCTCCATATTCTCTAGCTTTAAGGGATTTTAAGGACAATTTTGTCTTTAACCATGCTAATGCATGCATTAAAGCCTTGGTATTACTAATGTCATGGTTTTCTATGCATTACTTATGCATAGGATAATGCCAAGTATGACAAGTATTAGTTATACACAAGTTGGAAAAAAGTACCAAACAAGGTATTAGTAATGCATAGAGTTAATGCTTGCATTATTTATTCTAATACCTCCTACCAAATGACCCCTTAGTATATTAGAAATATAACCACTAGAGTATATTAGAGAATCCCTGGTGTTAGATAATCCTTAAGTACGATTTTTTGCAATATTATGGACCCAAACAAAGCATTTATGATATTGAGGATTTACGCAGCCGACCCCAACTAGCATGGGATTTATAGTTATCGTCGTTGTTAATAGCCATGTCAGCCTAGCTTCACACCATCACCTGTTGTCTCATAATCTTACTTTTGCCTTGGGTAAGACTAAGATCTTCAAAACTCAAATCTTCATCTATCTGAAGACATTTTTGTCCATCTCCACCCTACACCAGATATGTTTTCCTTTCCGCTACTACCACTGATTTTCAGCTTATAGAGGAAAGACCTCTACATTAGCCCTATATCCTTTCATTCTTTCCAATGTTCCCATGAATTAGGCAAAAGAATTAAGGAACATTTAATCAAAAGGGAATGAGAAATTTTAAGTAAAGAGCAAGGGCATGGACTTGCAGCTCTTGAAAGGTTGATTTCATTACATTCAGCCACTAATCAAGAACATGAACGGTTAAAATGCACTACAACCTCTTAAACATCATGCTCTATTCAATTCCATTTCATTCCAATACTAAATACTTTTATCTTTTAATACAACTTGGAACTTCTCTAATAGAGTTTGTCTAAACCTTAAACTTATCGCTGCACAAACATACAAATCTCAACTTAGCTCCATTTGTTCCTTTTCCCTAAGTCTCTGGGACTGTTAACTCTATTTTCTGTTAAGCAAATATTCTTTTTATGGCAAAGACCATTTTTCAGGGGCTTGCTAAACGAACAACTTAACCTTCAACTCTATTTTTTAGATTAATGAAGAAAAAAAAAACATTATGCAGTATAAATAAGCTAGAAATATAAATGGGAAACATGGGTAATAGGTATACTAGATGATATTACAAAACAAAGGGGAAATATCACTTTTAGCCCGTGCCAGAAACCATTTACATTTGATAACCGAAAAAGTGTACAAGATTTGTATTTATTTTTTTTTTTTTTGATAATTATAAGATTTGTATAATTTTTTGTATGTATCGTACAAAATGTATATATACAAAATATATACATTTTTTTTGCTATTATTTTGAGAGAGGCTATACAAACAAAAGAGATTACACATTGTACCTCATTGTTATTGCAGATCTGATCCAATGGTTATTCTCCACAAGGACATGGGAATGCCTTTTCATCTTCAAGGATTACAGAGTGGTGGACACATGCTTTGTAGTATGGCTGGTATGAAACCATCATGACCCAAATATAATTTCTTAGATGGTATTACAACTTCATAATATTTCAACGATGACAAATAGTATAATTTGGTCTAGACAAAAAATATTAAGAACAAAAAAGAGAAGTATGGTAATGCAAGACTTAGCTAAAGATAGGGCGCAAGGGAAGAAAAAGCTCCATATAGGTGATACCTACTAGTTGGGAATAGGTTTTAGACTTGTTAGAGAATAGGTGATACCTATTACTAGTATATATATATATATATATACACACAGACAGTTATTTATAAATTGTATATATATAACTTCCTTTTCACTTTTATGCTAACTTTATTTTATTTTGGTATGACGATGATATGACCTGAGCTTAAAGAAAAAAATTCTACAGCTGACCCCAACTTGTTTGGGACTGAGGCTTGATTGTTGTTATATGGTGATCCAAGAAAAAGAAGAAATACACTAGCATAGTGAACATTCCGAGATATTGGTGCCAAAGACATTCAAAATAGGACAGCGAGAATACTAATGGTGCATTGGTGCCATGTATTTTTCCTTTAGATTTAACAGCCACCCTTGTGGAAAAAGGGTTGTAGCACAAAGCTAAAATAGTTTGAGAAAAGAAGGCCGAGAAAATAGTTTAAGGGGAAAGTTGCAAAATAGCCAATAATTAAGGGGGTTATAGAGCATTTTAGTTCCAAAAAAGTAAAGCATTTCAGTTCAAAAAGATAAAGAGCAAATTGACAAAGCTTTTAAAACACATTAACTAGAGAGGGAGAGGACAAACCAGAGCTATTAACCAGAGGAGCATCAGCATGATATCTGATCTAGGACCTTACCAGTTGATTCACCACCTGTACTGAAATAGCTCAAAAAGAAAGGCAAACTAAATGCTAACCTGCACAAGTTAACCATCAAAGCAAGCAAACGAAACAATGTTTTAATTAATTTTAAATATGCAATGGGAACGAGCTCAATGAATAGCTAATAACAGCATCTGAAGGGAGGTGCTGCAGAGGAGCTATCAAACAACTACAACTCAAGATAACTACGATCAGAAACAACAAAAAAGACCACTGTAATGCTGCAGAGTTTATGTCAAAAATCATGTCATCAGAACGTTATAACTTCAAAACCTGAACAATATTATGGAAAATATATTTACTCTAGTTCCAAACGACCTTTTATAGACAGCTTACAACACCATTGAAAATGTCATCTCCAACACAACATATATCAAGGTACTCATCCCTCGATCAAAGTTCAAATATTAATTAAACTTTTGAAGATCATGGACATCCAGTGCCACTTCCACTGATAACATTATCAGAGAAACTTAATACGCGTCATCAAATTTATCATTCTTGAAGATCACAGTAGGCGTGCCTTCAGGATCAAAAGCTAAAATACAAACAAGTAAAATGTCATTACATGACCATCATTTACTTGAGCTGTTAAGCTAGTGCAAACTCTTTCACAATTGAAAGTTATGCAAATTTCTTCCAAGAAATAGCTCAATAAAAAATCCATCAGGCTGTCCCTAAAAAATAACCAGCAAAACAGGACAGGTTCGAACCTGTACACATGACACCTGAAGGTAGTATCATACACCCATTCAATATTATCCACATCCAACACCTAGTATTGGCTCGCCAGCTAGCTTATGTGATCAACTAAACCACAAGAAGGTTTTCACAAATGAAAAGAAAAACAAGACCAACCAAGAGAAGCTGTCCATAGATAAACACAAATCCTAACCAAGTAAATTTGGTTTCAATCCTGGACCTATTCAAATTGACTGAACCATGTACAAACTTTTCGGACCTAAATCCCTAACCAGATTAAATCAAACCAGACCAAACTGAATGAGGGTTCAGAACTAAACCAGCCAAATCAACAGGCCTGTATAATCAAATTGTGCAAGTTTTCTTTTCTTTTTCTTTTTTATAAATAAATATCCAATTATGCAAGGTTTATGGACTAATAAAAAAGATTATATCTAGTTTCAGGCATTGACATCTTTAGAGTTTTAGAGAAAAACAAATGTAGGTTCTTTAGATTATAGGATCAGTACATCCACATGTAAATACTCCTTGTCTTTTCCAACAGTGGATATTGCACATAAGGAGAGTATGTGTCATCAAATTTATCATTCTAGGTGACCGCAATAGGAGCGCCTTCATGGTGAGAACCTAGAAATACAAACAAGTGAAATGAGAGAGCTATTGTACAAGGAAGCTACGTACACATTTCGAACTGAAAGCGAGATCTTGCAACCACACCCGAAGAAGCATGCAACAAAGCTCTTTTCCTTTCTCATTGAAGTATGCAGCGAGGAATCGGGAACACTGATCTAGACACAGTAGTATCAATTGAGTTAGCAAATCTAACGAGCGTACAAGCATCTTTTTCCTTTTATTTTTGAATTTGGCACTATTTAAATAAAAAAGAACCTACAAAAAGGTTTTCACAACATAACCAGCAACTACTTGAGCTGTTAAACAATGGCAGATGCTTTTACAAGTGAAAAATATGCAATTATCTTTCTAGAAAAGAGCTCAATAAATCATCCATCAAGCTGATAATAAACCTGTACATATAACACCTAAAGGTATTATCATCTAACCATTTAATATTATCCAAATCCAAGACCAACAAGAAATAAAATAATAGTCCCTCCATTCATCTTGTTTGACACCAGCAAGGACTTTGAAACATAAAAATAATATGCATAAAATAAAAAATAAAAATAAATCTAACAAAATACAAAAAATCAGGTCCAACTATATGAGAACACCTCATTACGAACAAAATGGGGATGTAAGTATTAGATGTCTAACACAAAAGTGACAATCTTTAGATACCATTATGCAAAGTTGAAGTACAAACATTTCACTAATTGAACAGTCAACAGATACCAGAATCTTGTTCAGGGAATCACCTAAAGGACATTGAAGCCATTGAACCAATGTCAATTCTCTCCATCAAAACAACATATCAAGATCCAGACAAAGTTGAAACCCAACAAGGCAAAACATGTAAAAAAAAACACACAAAACCTAAAACATCACAATTCTAAACCAAACAAATTTTAATAGAGATACATAAAAATTCTTCATTCACTATAGCTATCCAAGTTCAATAGAAACCCTATTTTGTCAATGTGTACACATAGAATCCTCAAAACCCAAGATAAAACAAAACCCTAAAATTGATTAAGATCTGGTATATCTGGTAACAGCCTTTCCACCATCCAAAACGATTAAAAGTACAAAAAATGTCAAAATTCAAAACCAAGTAAATTTAACAGAGAAAACTGAAAATTCTTCCTTCTTGATATAGATGTCCATTACATACCACAAATTTCAAATGCAACCCTAACTGGACAATTCTTTACATCTACAAACCCTAATCAAAACACAAACTCTAAAATTGATTAAGAGCTAGTAAATTTAGTAACAGCCTTAGTACCCTCAGAAACAGCATGCTTAGCCAATTCACCAGGAAGCACAAGTCTCACAGCAGTCTGAATCTCACGAGAAGTGATAGTAGGCTTCTTGTTGTAACGGGCCAATCTAGAAGATTCCTGAGCCAACTTCTCAAAAATATCATTAATAAAGCTGTTCATGATCCCCATAGCCTTACTGGAGATACCGATATCAGGGTGAACCTGTTTCAACACCTTGAAAATGTAGATCTTGTAAGTTTCAACTGACTTCTTTACCCTCTTCTTCTTCTTGTCTCCTGCAGCTGCTCCAGCGCCGTCCTTGGGAAGCTTCTTCCCTGCCTTTGGCTTCTTCTCTGCTGCCGCTGCTGCTGGTGCCTTCTCCACTGCTGGCTTTTTCTCAGCGGGCTTCTTCTCGGCTTTTGGTGCCATTGTGAATACTCTAGAGAGAGAAATAAAATATGAGAGAGAGAGTATGAGAAATTTGAGGACTTGAAGGTGAATTTGTGAAAGATTTGGAGTGAGGGGTTTAATTATATAGTGGTTTGGAGGAGAGTTGTTATTGGTCCTGATGGAATGACGCGGATCATGAATTATAGCCGTTGATGTTGGATATGAATCGACGGCGAAGAATTGTTGGGAACTTAAAGGCGAAGTGTCTTGAGGAATGATTTGAAATTTTGAAAAGTTTTCCGCTTTTTCTTTGGTTGGCGGTAATTCAAAAGTGAATTTCGTGTTCCGGAGTATTTATGATTCGGTTTTGGTTTTTTATTTTATTGGATTTTTTAATTCTTTTTGCACATGAAATATAAATTCAATACCAGAAATCCTCTAGATTTATTAACACATGTTTGTGTATGGTTTAGTATCAATTATTTTCGATTTGTAACGACTTTCGAGTGCCTTGGAGATTTTGTATTGAAATTGAAAATTTGAATGAAAAATGAAGAGTTCTCTTGTATCTTATCGCGGAGGACACTTAAAAGATTTTTGGAGTTAATCTAAAAATGAGATAGTCTAAGTATTGTGCAATGCAATCATGATGCACGCAAATTTTGTGGTGTGCATTATGACTTTCTTCCCTTTATCTAGTAAGTTGATCAGGGCCAAATGGAATTTATAATCGTCCAACTTTTTTTAAATTTTTAATCAATTATATATTTTTTTATCATAAGATAAATGTAAATATAAAAAGCTAAAATGTTGGATACAAAAATGTGAAATAAAGACCTAAAGTTCATGAATATATTTTAACTTAGAAGAAATATGCAACTTTAAAATCAAAAATCAAAATTTCAAAGAGACTATAGCCTCATTTATTTGCATTTAATGGAGATTTGAATCTTAATTATTTATATCACAAATATTAAGTACATTTATTTTTTAGGTTTGCACATTAATCATTAAGTGCATTTGTTTTTTTTCTTTCACAACCACTTAATGGGTGTGAATGATTAAGAGCTATAACAGAAACTTATTAATTTCATTAAAATATTATCATCTACATTCCCTACTAATCATCACCATCGCTCACCATTATCAATTACCACCTTGTACCGTCCATCACCATTATACTCAACCACAACTACCATTATCACTGACCACCATCATCCACCACTACCATATTAACTATAACTGCCATTGCTTACTATTATCGATTAATACACCACCAACCACTACCATCTTAATAATAACTGCTACCGTCCACCATTATCAACTAATATACCGCCCACCACCCCCATCATTATTGACTACCACCACCTACCACCGCCACAATTATAAATTATCACTCCCACGACCATCATCCTCAAACACAACCACCCGCCCGTCCACCTTAACCGCCACCACTAACCACTCGCACCACCATCATCAACCATAGTCATCAATATCCACCATTATAAACTATCCAGAACCACTACCACCAACCAAAATCGCAACCAATCATTTCCTTTAGTGGGCATTCACAAGCACCATCATTAGCCATCGCCACCACCAACTACCATATTATTATTCAAAAAGTATTTTGTTAACATAATATAAGGTTAAATGGTATTTTATCTGAATTTATGTTTATTAAGTAAAGATAGTTTTTTCACATTCAGATGTTGAAAAAATAAACAGTCTTAATCATTTAGTATTCAAATTTTAATATTCAGATGTGTATTCAGACTCAAGCATTCTAATCTTAATATACATCTTATAATTCATATGTGAATTCAAATTCAAACGCCATAATCTTAAAAAAAATGAGGCATACATATACTTAATTGGAATGTACTTCAAAAAGATACAGAGGTTGAGGGTTGGGCATAAGGTCTGCCAAATCAAAAAAATTCTAACTAGTTTAACTGGGTGACTCTTACACTACTCTTATACATCGTGAGTCAAGGTCCTTATTAATAACCATACATTTAGGAAAATTAAAATCAATACATCCATTATTTGAAGTAGTATTCTTAGAGGGTGGAATTACTGCAATCTTGGGATTCTTTGGCTACCAAAAGCCAAATCTAATTTGGATATTTGGATATCCAGATGGATCCCAAATGTTCCATGCCTTAGAAGTTGTATTGAAGGTCCTTTGACCAAAAGTGATATCTCTCTCAGAATAGAAGAGTCGTGTAAGAATAATAAATGGAGCCTATCTAAAATATCCTTCAATCTACCTAATAATATTTTCAATAATTTGTGTATCATTCCACTACCCTTGAAAAATTAAACCAGCCATATTCTTACTTGGTATGGCAACAGTAATGGTCTCTTTAGTACGAAGTCCTATTATAAAATTATTGATGGCCCCTACTCTTCGAACAAAGTCTTCACTTGGATTTTGAATGTAAATTGTCCCAATAAAATTAAGTTTTTCTTATGGCAGTATTTTCATGAAAGGCTTCCATGTGGATCTTATCTTCATCACTTAGGTATTAATATTGATGCAATATGTCTTGTGTGCATGCTTCTACATAAACTATAAATCATGTTTTCTTCTATTGTTCTATTGCTAAATTATTCTGGTCTAAGTTAGGATGCCCAACATAACTATTCTTATCACTACTCATTGGCTTTGTTCGGTAAGAGATCTAAATTTACACACATCTAATTTCGATGTTAATTGATCAGAGTTCTTCCCTTTTTATACCATGGAATCAGTGGATTAATAGGAACGAGAACAATCAAACTAACATGGCTTTATCTATGGCTACACAAAATATTCTTCACTATATTGTAGGGTATAAATTTCTATGTGTTGATGACTCTAGTATCACCAAGAATTATATACTATTTTAGGTGGCCTCATCAGAAACACCAGCGGAGGCTGGATAGTGGGCTTTACAAACTGCACATATGTGTCATCTCCACTTTAGGCAGAATTCTAGCTTAAAACAAGCCCTCTAAATTGCTTCGAAAATACAACTAAAAACACTAGAAATTGAAATAGACTTAGTGGAGGAGATTAAATTAATAAAAAAAGATAATGGAGTATTTAACGATCTTATTTGTGGTTGCAGGTTGTTTATGCTGCAACAGAGACTCCTAGAAATTAGATATACCTTCCGTTAAGGAAATAAAGTCGCACACATATCAACAAACGAAGCTTCTCATCAGTCTAAGTTGAACAAGATCACATGCTTTGCAAGGCCTCCCATTTGTGTTAACCATGCATTAGAAAAAAGATAAACTTGGTGTCGTTATTTTTGTTAAGCAGTTATCTAACAATGCATGTAATATGCTATCAAGTATAGGTAATCTAAAAGTCTTAAGCGACATCGCTATGGAATGTAATATGGTGGAACAAGTTTAGTATTAATTTAATATTTCTATTTTCTTTTTAAAAAATACAAATAAAAGTACTTAGTTATGCATATCACACATATCTTCAAAACTAGAATTGACAATTTTGTTATGGATCTGTCATTTGATTCATGTTGACCACATCTGTGTAGTAGACAAGCATATTCAATGTACATCCAGTTAATGTATATACTCATTCATTGAGTTGCAGTTTTTATTGCCTAAATGTATTTTCAGAT